GGGGGGGGGGGGGGGTTAATGAATGCATTCCAAAATGTGACATTAATTTCTTGACAACCTAATATACAAGTTTCAAGTTCTTAATTTCATAATGCAATATTTAAAAAAAGGCATTTCCTCTTCTCTAATTCATTTACCACTCCTCCAAGAAGTTCGAAATTTAACATAAAATACTCCTTATAATGTCATCATCACTCAAGCAAAGCACAATTTTCATTGTCTTTAATATTATTTGGTTAAAAAGTCATCAAACAGAAAATCAGCCCCCCCCATCACATCCTTTCTTTCAGAAATTGTCAATAGTTCTCTCTGACATTCAATACTATATTATTTATAACCAATAGAAAGCCAAGGTTTTCATCTATCATATGACATATCATATTACCTTGTTTTCTGTACAGAGAATTGTCAATTTCCCTTTCAGTTCAAGCTTTATTCCTATGGGAAACACATCGGCTAGCTAGGATGAATTTGTAATGGCCCTTGTTGAATAGTTAGAAAGCCAGAAAAAGTGTGATAGTTATGGGACATGATCTGCTTTTTGCAAGTTATTATTCTGTGTTCTTTGGTTCATTATTTAATTAAATGAAAATTTATCTCATGCAGTACTACCATTAGTATAAAAAAGTGTTCTTTCGTGCAATATTTAATTCAATTAAATAAAAAAACTATTTAGTGCCATAGAACCAATTAGTATAAAAAAGTAGGGTTAAGTTACATCAACAGTTATCAGCAAAAAAAAGAAGGCCCAGTTAAATACTTTATTTCTTGTTTTTCATGTGTATTCTTTAGTTATTATTATAAAAGTAACTAAAATGTAAAAATAGGAAACTTTTAGGTTATTTAAGGTTATAATTTTTCATGATGCACACTCACAAACAGCTCGTATGTAATGTAATTTGTTAGCTACAAGTTCAACAAGTGATTTACAACTTATAATGGCACAATTAATAGTTAGACATGGATTAAAGGGTATAGACTTTGGGTAGAGAATATAACAGATAAAACATCAACTTTTACTGGAAAAACAAACAAACAAACGTTTGAAATTTATTTAGAAG